TTTGTGGGATATGGTGGGGAGCTGTATGTATGGGGAAAATAGGTCCCAAAAAGGTTTGGGTCTTCCTGTCTCATGTCTCTGTGTGAGTGAGAGGATAGAGCCGAAGTCGATTTACTGCTCCTCATCGGCTCTTAACTGCCCAAGGAAGGGGCCTCCATCTGCTCTCACTCCTCTCTGCCACTGTTTTCAGCTGATTAGGGTAACGCAGCCAGAGCTGATCCAGACCCATAAGTCTCAAGAGTCTCAACTGCCTGAGGAGTCCAAGCCAGCCAGCGGAAAGTCTCCCCCAGTGCTGGAGGCAAGCAGAGCCCCGCCGGCCTCTGAGGGGACCCACACAGGTATTTGGGGGCTCTGTGGGTGAGCTAGAGCAGTGATGCAAAAGTGTCTACAGCTCTGTGCCCTCAGGTGGTGAGGGGAGTGCGGCACCTAAAGGATAGTGCCTTATCACAAGCCCCAGCCCCTCTCCATAATGTACATTCCCTGTCCTGCTGTTCCAGGACGTCTTTTCCTTTCTGCTCATTTATCTCCCATCTCACTGGAAGCGGGTGACTTAGAGCTTGCTGACTCCCAGTCTGCCCGTTAGCTCAGTTATTGGGGACCGAGTGAGCAGTGCTATGTCTCAGGATTGGGGAGACAGTGAGCTGAGGATGGCCACCCTACGAACCTCTGAAGACCCTCGCTGTACTTGTTGCCCTGTCCTAGATGGTGCAGAGGAGGTGGCTGGGTCCTGCACACTTGCTCCTCCCCACAGTCCTCCCAGCAAACCTAAACTGGTGGTGAAGTCTCCAGGGAGCAACCTCAATGGGGTTCCCCCCAACCCTACCCCCATTGTCCAGCGGCTGCCAGCCTTTCTGGACAATCACAACTATGCCAAGTCCCCAATGCAGGTAAGTGAGGAGCAGTTGTGGAACGTCCTCCAGGCATCTCTTTAAGCTGTGACAGGTGGTTTCCCCACTTATTTCCTTGGTGCCAGCCTGGGTCTAGCTGTCCAGGCTTTTCTGTCTCAGAAGCCCCCAGAGTGGCAAGCTCAGAGGAGACCAGGAGAGCTCCTTAGACTTTAAATTCTTAGGACATAATCCTTTGTTCAGTTCTGTGGATTGAGTTCTACAAACAAAAGCACATATTTCATAATACTTTGTCTTAGGAGCCCTATGCAGGCCGAGAGTGTGTGTGTGGGACTGCCTTCCCAGGGGTTCAGGGCGGTGTTCAGTAGACTGACTGGAGAGCCATATCAGCTCTCTCTCTGCATGGACCTGGCTGGCCCTCTCATGACTGCCCTGGGTATCTCTATCCAGGAAGAGGAAGACCTGGCAGCAGGTGTGGGCCGTAACCGAGTGCCAGTCCGCCCGCCCCAGCAGTACTCTGACGATGAGGATGACTACGAGGACGAGGATGAGGAAGACATGCAGAACACCAACTCTGCCATCAGGTCAGCGCTACCACTGTGAGCCTGCCCTGAACGTTCTAGCCTGTGTCCGAGAAGGCCTCTCAGCAGATCATGTTGGGCGCTTGTTGAGTCCAGGGCCCTGGGGAGGCTGGCATGCAGTGGCTGACCCCGACTCACAAGGAGTTGGGGGAGGCCAGGGGCTGGGTATGTTAATTTCATGGCATGTTCTATTGGGCCTTTGAAAGCTCACAGGAGGTAGGAATAGAGATTAGGAGGGAAGCTTTGCAGGGAGACAGCATTAGTAAAAGGCCTGATAAGAGGGAGTTGGGACAGAGAAGATATTCCTGGAGGATACCTGGCCACAGCTGTTAAAAGTACAGGCTGGACATGGCTGGGTTAGGCTGCTCTGACCCCCAGTGAACAGCTTCTCGGATTGGACCCTGGAGGCCAGGATGCGTCAGAGCCAGTCTGGGCACTGATGAGTGTGGCCACCTCACCTGAGCCCTCAGTCCCCTTCCTCTTGGTTCCCACAGATACAAGCGGAAGGGGCCAGGGAAACCAGGGCCCCTGAGCAGCTCAGCTGATGGGCAGCTGTCGGTGCTGCAGCCCAACACCATCAACGTCCTAGCCGAAAAGCTCAAAGAGTCCCAGAAAGACCTCTCGATCCCTCTGTCTATCAAGACCAGCAGTGGGGCTGGGAGTCCAGCCGTGGCCTTGCCCACACACTCACAGCCCTCGCCCACGCCCAGCAACGAGAGCACAGACACAGCCTCTGAGATTGGCAGTGCTTTCAATTCGCCATTACGATCGCCCATCCGGTCGGCTAACCCGACGCGGCCCTCCAGCCCCGTCACCTCCCACATCTCCAAGGTGCTTTTTGGCGAGGATGACAGCCTGCTGCGTGTTGACTGTATCCGCTACAACCGTGCTGTGCGTGACCTGGGCCCTGTCATCAGCACAGGCTTGCTGCACCTGGCTGAGGACGGCGTGCTGAGTCCCCTGGCAGTGACAGGTGTGCTGTGGGCCAGCCCACTGGCCTGTACACATAGTAGGGAGGTGGCTGGGTGACCACCCACTGTCTTTCCTTCATGAGTTTTCTCTCCCCAGAAAGTGGAAAGGGCTCCCCACCCTCCATCAGATCAAGCCAAAGCAGTCAGGGGTCCAGCAGCCCAGAGGAAAAGGAAGCAGTGGAAGCAGCAGAGAGCAGAGAGAAGACTGGGCTGGTCAGGCCCGGTGAGCCCTTAAGTGGGGAGAAGTACTCACCCAAGGTGAACTTCCTGACATTCTCTTGGAGCTTCTGGTCCTAATAGGGCAGGGCCCAGGGTGCTGTTGCCCAGATGCCAAGCTTTTGATTGGAATTTTGGGGTGAGGGTTGGCTGAATCCCAGCACAAGTGTGGCAAGGCCTCAGAGCACGGTGGGCTTTGTTAGCTCATCCTTGCCTCCTGGTGGCGGGGTAAGGCACTGGCTGTTCCCCTCTGTGGGTACAATGCTGGGTATTCATAGGAGCTGCTGGCATTGCTGAAGTGTGTGGAGGCTGAAATTGCAAACTATGAGGCCTGCCTCAAGGAGGAAGTGGAGAAAAGGAAAAAGTTCAAGGTGGGTGACCTATCCAGCTGTCTGGTTCTCTCCACCTCCTGAGTCAGCTGGGAGGTAGGCTACGGTGCCCTCATATTCTCCTCTCCTGCAGATTGATGACCAGAGGAGGACCCACAACTACGACGAGTTCATCTGCACCTTCATCTCCATGCTGGCTCAGGAAGGTGAGGGGACCCCGCTGCTGCAGCTCACCTGGCTTGCCCCTCAGGTTCCCTCTCCCTGAAGGGAGGGCCATGAGAGCCCCAGCTTCTGGCCTGAGGCTGTGACCAGTCACACGGGTGACTGCCAGGCATCCAGCTCAAGGGTCTCTATGTCTCCACAGGCATGCTGGCCAACCTGGTGGAGCAGAACATCTCAGTCCGGCGGCGCCAAGGGGTCAGCATCGGCCGGCTCCACAAGCAGCGGAAGCCTGACCGGCGGAAACGCTCTCGCCCCTACAAGGCCAAGCGCCAGTGAGGACTGCTGGCCCCAGCTGCAGCCCGCTCTTGCCACATGGCCCCGACCAGGGCCCTTTCTCCGCCCTGCTCTTCCTTCTCCCAGTATTACTACATAGTTCCAGCCACAGAGCCCAGACCCTGGGAAGGGGAATCAGGCCAAGATGTTCTGCATTGTGCCCCGGGCCTGGCGTGGCAGGGCAGCCCCGTAGTGCTCAGGAAGTAGCAGCTGGCGCTGGGGATTCAGGGTGTCTTGGCCACCTCCACAGCCGGCTGTGGAGCAGCAGGACCCTGCCCTCTCACCGCGGGCAGCAGAATATATATTTTATCTATCAGAGACGTCTATTTTTCTGGGCTCCAACCTGTCTTGCCACTGCTGTGTTGACATAGCTGGTTCCTCACTTCTGTTTTCCTTCCTAGCAGCTGTTAGTCTGGTGGGTCCTGGTCTCTGCATCCCATGGGGTCACAGCTGGAGGCCTGGGTGGGTGCTCTAACCCCAGCTGCCAGTCTGTCCTTGTCACGAGGCAGCCAGGGAGAGTGCTGCACTCAGGGACCCTAGCTGCTGGGCTGGATTGAGGGTGGGCATCTCAGGGTGGGATGAGAACGTCCCTGGGGTCTCATGGCCTGATAAGAGAAGTGTTTGAGCTGATGTAAAATCCCCTGTGGTTCTTGCCGAGCTTGTGAGACGGCTCTCTGTGGTGAGGCTCTGGGGCCCTTTGCCTTCAGTGTTGTAGCCCTGGCTCTGGGCCTGTCTCACTCCAGGTCTCCGTCCCTGCAGCCTGAGGCTTAAGCAGAGCCTTTGCCAGACCCTCAGTATTACGTGTTTCCCTCCTCTAGGGCTGAGGATAGCAGAGACAGGGCTGTCTGCAGGGAGCTGGCTCCACTCAGTTCTCTGTGTCCCACCAGCTGCCCCAGCCTCTGCAGGGCACTCAGGGTTGGGAACAGGTCTGAGGCACTGCCTCTGGAGCTCATTGTCTCTTCCAGAAGGCGATTCTAGCAGATCCCTTTATCCGTACATAGTGACTAGGGGTCAGCGTTGGGGGGTAGCTGACAGGCATGGCTGCTGCCTTGCCCTGAGCTAAACACAGACCCCTTCAGCCCCTGTAAATAGCAGATCACTGAATGAATAAAACTGAAGAAACAAGCCTGCCTGTCGTTGCTAGCCTGAGGTCTGTAGGCTAGGTTGCCATGGGAGGGAAGCATCTAACTGGGTGTGGGGCCCTGTGGCCAGATGGTGATGGATACATACTCCTGGGGCACTTGGCCTGCTTGCCCTGGGGCAGTCAGGGATAAGTATACCTGAGGGGGGCCAAGCCAGTTCCATTCACCAGATCAGGTGGCTCTGTAATCTGGGATTCAGTCCCAGAGCAGTCCTTCACCAGTATCCTCCCAGGACAGGGTCCTAGGACCTTTGTTGCATCTGAGTGGGTACAGTAGGCCGAAGCTGCCACCTCTGTTACTTGGCCTCTTGCTAATCACAGTCCTCTGGGGCCCACACCCTTCCCTCTGGTATAGAGTCTTGCAGATGAGGTCTGAACTGTTTTGAAAACAACTTTTAATGTCCCAGCCCTTCTCTCATAGTCTAGTAGTCCAGGGCGCAGATGAGAGCCACACCACGCTTGATCCAGTGTCGTTGGGACAGCGTGGTGGGGATCTCCACGGCGATGACATAATTGGTAGAGTGGCCTGTGGTGGATAGGGTTCCTGGAGCAAACAGGGTAGTGTTAGGCCAGGCTCTGCCATGACTGGAGTAGGGATGGGGAAGGGACAAAGGCTGTAGGCCTGACAGGCTGAGCTGGGGACAGGGAGGGAGCCTGACCCAAGAAGGGGTCTCCCTAGTGAGTGGTCTTGTATGGCTCGGGCCTATCCTGGGCATTGAAGGTGAGAATAGGATTGATGCCTTTGTGCTCATTCATTCTCTGACTCCTCTCCTTTATGGGCCTCTGTTACCCCACCCCTGGATAGCAGTGGCTGTGACTCAGAGGTTCCCAGGACCCTAGGTGGGTCCCTTCTGAGGGAGGGGGTTAGCTGGCGTGACCATGTGTGTCCTAAGTGATCTCAGGGATACTGGTCGACCTTTCTGCCTCCTCGTCCAGCCAGCCTGTGCTTAGCCTGCCCAGGATCCCAGCTGTGATGGAGGCTCCTCATACCGGCCCGAGTCAGCGTCTTGTAGATGGGGCACAAGTAGAAGTTCTCATCCTGGACCTTGCGGTTGGACACTGGCAGGAGCCAGATAACAGCCATCTCTGTGTAGAGCTCTTTGGGCCGAGACTCGGCCAGCTGGAAGTCCACTGGGTCCCAGCGGGCACCTTCCAGGAACAGTCCGTGGATGTAGCACCCCTCTTGAGGCCTCTCCTGGATTGCTGACGGTGTCTCGGACATCACCTGTGGTGGACACGCAGATAAACCACCTCCCGTCTTCTCCCCACCTTATCCCACAGTCCTGACCCCGGGGTTAGGATTTGGGTCATGGTATGAACTGTCTGAGCTGCTCCCTGTTACTCGCCACACAAGTCAGTGGCCTGCACCGCAACCATGGCCTCGTGGCCTCTTCTGGTCCGAGTCTACTTAGATCTCTCCCAGTTGCCTGGCTTCCCTTTGCTCATGGGACCTCTGCCTTTCAGCCCATCACAACCTCTGGCGCTCCTGCTCAGGACATACTCTAGCCTGTCATCTGCCATAGCCCTTGTTCTATCCAGACCTTGAAGTCAAAGGAGATGGTGTCAATGGAGATGACGGACTTGCGGGCAAAGTTCTGCAGGGTGCCTGTCAGGAACGCCTGGGGAAAGAAGAACCCACTGATCCAGAAGACAGCTGGGATGCCATCGTGGATCCAGGTCAGCAGGAAGTCCAGGCGTTGTAGAAGGTCCATGACCCACGAGGACAGAGGCTTGAGGGATGGGTAGGCCTTGGCTGACCAGAGTTCAGGCACGGTATTGTTGTACAGGCTGGTGGCCATCAACTCCAGATTTGAAGACATCACCACCAGCCCCTTGAGTGCCTTGAGCAGGTCTCGCAGTGTCTCTGTGATCACCTGCAGCAGCCGGTTGTACCTACAGGGTCAGTGGGCAGGAAGTGGGCAAATGGGCATGGCAGTACCTGCATTTTCCTGTTGGGACCAATGACAGAGAAGCAGTGGCAGAATGCAGAGGTGAAGAGCATAGGGCTAGGCCACGTGGCCTGTGTACAAATCCCATCTGTGACCCATAGCAAACAGTGATCGTGGGTCTCAAACATTTTGGGGACCTTAGTTTATAAAATGGGAGTAATAATGTAGATAAGTGACAAGAATGTATAGCACCTAGTATCTGGCCCATGGGAACTTCAGTGGCCGTTGGAGCTGCTGTTGTCACCCAGGCTCACCCTGTGGTGACCCAGGACTAAGGGTGCAGGAGGATTACCTAATGACCTCTTGTATTAGCACTGTGTTCATTGACTCCTCGTACAGCACCGGGTACCTGGTCGTCACCCACTTCACATTGATAGGTTCAGGCACCTTGAATAGGATGCCCTGAGCCACATCCTCTACTATCTGTGGGCAGAGGGATGCTGGGCATCAGAGCTGGCTCAAGGGTTCATGTGCACAGTGTCCCTTCCCACAAGACCCAGCCTTGCCCAGCCCTTGCGCTCCTCCTGCTGCCCTCACCTACCTCCTCCCGACCTTGGCCACCCACAGAGGATGACTTGGGTTGCAGCTGGACAATGGAGCTCAGGAGGGCATAAGTCTCATTCTGGGCAAAGGTAATGTTGGCGTTGTCGTGCAGGCCGAAGATCTCAGGGATATCATTGAGTGGGAGGCTCTTGATGTAGGAGAGGTAGCCCTGGGAGTAGCAAGAGTTTTCAGTGAAGCCCTACTTTGCTGTACCCTCAGCCATTGGAATGGCCTTCCAGTTGAGCGTATCTCCTATGCTACCCACTTGTCACCCTGTTCATGGTGTTTACCTATCTACCTGATGTTCTTAGGGCTCTGCAGCCTTTGAGACTGTGTGGTCCAGCCTCTCTTCCTTGCCAGCCCTCTTCTTCCCTTCATCCTGTTCCCTGCCTCTCTATTCACCTGTTCAAACCTGCCAAGCTCCTTCCTGCCACAGCTCCTTTGCACTTGATAAGCCACAATCTGGACCACGTAACCCAGCTCCTGCCTCCCCACGTCTACTCTTCCCTTCCCATCCTAGTCGAAGTATCAGTTCCTCAGGCAGAAGGTCAGCTGTCCTGACCCTCAATTAAGCAATTGCACCGCAGGAGTGGGTGAGGGATGAGGACTCTGTTCATCGGGATCGGTGCCAGACTGCCTCTCCTTTACTGTAGCCAGCTTTGTGGGATACATCAGTTGAGAAGGAGCTAACAGAGGCGAAGGGCTATATCTTCCCCAGGACCCCAACCTGACAGGCTTCCCCTCCCTCTTGGAACTCCTTGGAGTGAGCTCACGTTGAGGTCATAGGTGGGCTGGATCTGGTGGTAGATGCCCGAGGCACTGTAGCTGTGCTCAGGAGACAGCACGTCCGGGTTGTAGAAGTCCTCCAGGATGTTCATGATGCAGCGGCGGTCCCAGTCATCAGTGACGCGGCCCCCATAGTTGATCTCCCCTGCTGTGTACTTGAGGACCTACAGGGGGGGGAGGTGAGTGAGGACCCCCCCCCCACAGCACCCCTGCGCCCTGGCTGCCCTCATGTCCCCGGCCCACCTTGTAGGGGATCTCCTCGTACTCATCCAGGAACATCTTGAGCTGGCTGATGCAGATGCGCAGGTCTCCGTCGGTGAACTCGTAGGGGATGTTGAAGCCCAGGGGACCGAACTTACGGCGTTCCAGTGCGTTCCCGTGGAACAGGCACAGCGACAGCAGCAGGGACTTGAACTCCGTCACCTGTGGGAGGTGGGGGAAGCAGGGATGTTAGGAGGGGCAGTTCCTGGGGGCCACACGTCAGGCTCACCTCACCTTCTGGCAGGAGTTGAGGAAGTCTTCGCTGAGGCTGTTGTAGGACTTGAGCAGATTGGCCTTGACTCCACGAGGTGGCTCGATGGTCATCTTGGAGCCGTTCTGCAGGATGGACACTGGGAACTTGTTGCTGGGCAGGCTGGTGAGCCAGAGGCGGAAGTCCCGGTGCACCTGATGGCCGTGGCTTCATGTCAGCATTGAGACCTCGACCAAGTGGCTCCCCAACACCGGGCTCCCTCCTACCCTGGCGACACTGGGCCCACCCTTGACCTGACGCCACTCAGGATCAGGCCAGGCGAGGCTGCTCAGGTCATTAGCTAAGAACATGGGTTGGGGTCAGTCCAGGACAACTGGCTTGTACTTGGTGGTCGTGGGGAAGTCACAGCGTCACCCCTATTAGGGGCCACCTGAGAGGCCTGGCTGAGGCAATCACTGAAGGCTTGCTGTGTGCCTGGGCCGAGCGTTTTGCAGGCTTTGCTCATTTACACCTGTGCCGACTTCAGACAATTCTCCCTTTACTCCCTTTGGCAGCATGACCTGCCAGGCCGGTGGCACACCTTGTCAGGGTTGATATGCTCGATGAGGCGCTCCAGGGCTGGCATCCAGCTCGGCGCCAAGTGGCAGTTCTGGAAGAACACCCACTTGCCCCTCTCTATAGAGCTGCGCATCATGGCTTCTGCCCGGGGGCCCTGTGGGGACAGAGGTGTGACTGCTGGAACCAGAGCTCCCCCAAGGCCCTCTGAGCTCAGCCCTTACCTGCCCCTGGCCCAGGGATATGGCAGAAAGCTTCTTGGAGAACTTCATCTCTTCGGCAAATTTGTAGAGGTCAGCAGCCGGGTCGGTGCCAGGAGACAGCACAAAGATGAGGGGCGTGGTAGAGTTGGAGTCTTTGAACACCACTGATAGGTTGGCTGTCTGCAAGGGCAGGAGAGATGCTGGGGTTACCCGGGGCTGACTTGGAGCAGTAGTTAGGGTGACAGGGATCCTGGGACTCACAGGTTCATAGGAGGGCTTCCTGGTGGGACATGGAACCTCCTGGAATTCTCAGGTGGGCAGCTAGGAGCCCTAGCCTGGCCAAGCCCATGAAGTGGGCTGTTTAAGGGGCAGCCAGGCCCTTGGGCCAGCACTTGCCTGTGGCTCAATGAAGCGAGGCTCCAAGTTGCTGGCCACAAAATCCTGCATGGCGTTGGTGACCTTGTCCCCACGCAGACAGCGGAGAACCAGCAGCTTCTGGAACTGGTCCAGGTACTCATCCCAGATGCCAGGCAAGGGCTTCCTGCAACAGTGCCCAAGACCCCTGAGAGCCGGCCTATAGGAGGCCAGTGGCCAGAGGGACTCTGACATCTGGATCATGGGGGAATCGGATATCCTGGTGCAGAGTGGAAGAGGTGTGGCCATGGCTACAGGGCAACCTGGGGTGGCCCCTCAGAGAAGGCTCCTGGACAGGACTATTCCTGGGGTCTCGCCCTCACTGTGCCCACCCGGCCCTGGGCCTCGCTCACCGATGAGGCTCGAGGCTGTCAAAGATGTCACGGAATTCTGGGAGGAACTCCACGAAGTCAGAGGAAAAGGAAGAAAAGGCTGACAGGTTCGACAGTGCCAAGATGTCTCGCCAGGCCCGGTCAGACAGCCAGTCCACAGCAGGGTTCTCGGTCACAATATCAATGGTGCCACCTGACAGAAGGTAGCGCCACTCGCCCTGCAGGGACCGGGAGGAAGGAAGGGTCCAGCCTGGTGGCTACCTCTGGGCATCCTCTCCTAGCAATGCACCCCCACCATCTTCACCCAGAGGAACCCAGTCCCCCTTGGGCATGGTACACAGGGCTGGGTTAGTGTTCCCACTCTGCCTTTTCTGGCTGTTCACCCTTAACAAAGGCCTTGACCTCTCTGAGCCTCAGCTTCCTCATACGAAAACTAGCAAGAATCAAGAGCCCTAGCTGCAAGAGAATATGCCATCCCCTTTTCCTTATGACTCAGGGTGAAGTCTCTCTCAGGGAGGAGTGATAGGGAATGGCAAAGGACACACAGACAAAGAAGATTAATCAGAACTGGCTTTGACAAGCACTGTGGCATTTGGACAAGAACAAACTGGGAGGAGGGTAGAGAGAATAGTGCAACAATGAATGAATGGAAACCCAAAATCTCTGTAAATGTTTATGAAAATTAATAAAATATAATTATAGAAAAAAAAAGAGCCCTAGCTGCTTCATAGGGCTTCGTGGAGGAGGTGACTCCTAGCTAGTTTTCAGAGACTGTAAATTGCAAGGAAGGAGACTGCCTATCTTCCTCCCAAGGAACAGCTGATAGATTTTGACTACCTGTCTGTGGGTTAGTTGCACAACTCCTTACCCACTAGGCCACCAGAGCTCCTTCTGTGGGGATGTTGTTGTTATGTGCCATCGAGTCACCTGCGACTCATAGCAACCCTATGTACAATAGCCCTAAACCCTGCTCTGTCCTATGCCAACCTTATTGTCCCTGATACATCTACCCCCATTACCCCAATTACTGAATCAATCCATCTTAGCGAGGGTTTTCCTCTCCTGTGCTGTCCCTCCACCCTCTCCAAGGACTGATCCCATCTTGCAACATGTCCAAAGTATGTCAGACAAAGCTTCAGAATCCTTGTCTCCAAGGAACAGCCAGGCTTCACCCTCTCCAGGATGAACTTTGTTCTCCTAGCACCACAGATCAAGGGCATAAATTCTCCTTCTATCATCCCTAGTCATTGTCCAGCTTTCTGATGCATAGCAAGTGACTGCAAATACCATGGCCTGTATCATGCACACCTTAGTCTCCAGACTGACACCATTGCTCTTCATTACTGAGAGAGGTCTCTGACAGTAGACTTTCCCAATGCAATGCGTCTTAATTTCCTGGCTACTGGTACCAAGAGTGTTGATTGTAGAGCCAAGCAAACTGAGGCTGTTAACAGTCTCAATCTAGTCACCATCTATCATGATGCTGCCAATCGTCCCAGTGGTGAGAATCTTTGTTTTCTTGATGTGGAGCTTCAATCCATATTGAAGGATAGGCAAGAGTTATAGTCATGAACTTGGTATCTAGCCCACAGTTAGGACTTGAGAAGTGGTTCTTTTCATTCCTACTGTCTAGGCAGGAGTTGCCAGCATGTCCACCATTGCCCAGGGCCTCCTGAGACCACATGCTCTGGTCAAACGGGTAGGAGGCCTAGGATGGCGTTCCTACTCACAGCATAGACAGCCCAGGAAAAGGTTCCTGTTCACAAGACTGGCTGGGCCACAACGGATCCAGGGAAGCTCTTGGCTCTTCAGTCAAGGCCCTGTCATTCCTGTGCCCTTGTGCCTGGTTTCCCCTTTCCTCTCACCTCTTACCCCCATGACAGGGCCACTCCCCAGGAGTCTGCCCTCAAGTGGCTCCCACTCAGCCAGCTCTGTATATGTGCACGTGGTCAATCTTTATTTTTTTTAAATTTTATTTTTGTACCTGGTCAATCTTGCCCTCGTTCATCATGATGCGGACACAAAGCAGGAAGGCAAACATCAGCTTGTGCTTCTCGAAGAGGCTGCGGCAGACGTTGCTGTAGAGGCTGTAGGTGAGGTAGCGGTTGATGTTGGCGATGCGCTTCTTCAGGTTGTCTGCAAGGCGGGGAGGTGGTGGCTGAGAGTCGGGGCGAGTGGGAGGAGAGGAGTCCTGTCTCCCGAGCTGCTGCGATGCAGCCAGAGCCTGGGAGTTCCCAGGGGATCTTTTGATGTTCCCAGTACAGAAGCTCTCATCAGGGTGGAGAGGAGAGTGTGTGTGTCAAGGTGAGCTGTGTGCACTCTGTTCATGAACGCAGGTGCATGCTTATGTATTGTGAGTCCGTGATGTGAGGATATGTGCAGGCAACGTGGGTGTGAGGTCACATGTGTGCCCTGCCATGGAAATGTGTCCCTGGGTATGTCATGTCTATATCAGAATGGGACCCTGCTTGAGTTCAGGTGTGCATGCAGGTGGTGCCAGGGCTACCTGCCCTCTCGGAGTTGGCGATGCCTGAGAGGAAGATGTTGAGGAACCACTCGAGGGAGTACTGGTACATGGGGTCCACGTTGGCCAAGTCAGAAACGCAGAAGAAGAGGATCTGGGTGCGCACAGCCACAGGGATGTACTCCATGCGCGTGAGGTCAATGTCCTTCTCTGTCTGCTCTGCAATCCTGACCTTGGCCTGGAGGGAGTGGGGACCCAGGGAAGTCAGACCCAGGTAGGCTGGCAAAGACCAGGAGGCACGGATGGGCAGGGCTAGGGATCCAAGTGAGTGGGCAGCTGCCCACCTGGATTTCTGCGGCCTTCATCTTGGAAGCCTCCAGCACCTTGATGAGCTCCATGTCGTCCACGGGGTTGCCCTCGGAGGAGCTGAGGCGGTACAGGATCTGGTCCTCGATGTCCTTCAGCTCCTGGCGCATCTTGGCATTGCTGACAATCAGCTGGTTCTTGGCCTCCTCCAGGTCAGGCCGCTCCTCAGCCACTACCTGGCCCAGAAGCTGGTCCTCCAGGCCGCTGCCAGGATGGAGGACACCATGTCTGTAACATCCAGACGGCTCTGGAATGCACACCCATGTTCATTGCAGCTTTGTTCACAATAGCAAGGAGTTGGAAACAACCTAAGTGCCCATCAACAAACGAATGGCTAGAGAAGCTGTGGTATATTCGCACAATGGAATACTATGCTGCATTAAAAAACAAGGAACTCATGCAATATTATTCAAAATGGTTGACTCTGGAGAACATTATGCTGAGTGAAATATCCCAGTCACAAAAGGACAAATATTACATGATGCCACTGTTGTAGAATGGGACTGTCCTTGGGGTTAGGGAGACACTGAGTAAGATGGGTTCAATAATGTATACTGCACTGAAGCAGAGGAGGGAGAGAACCGTCTAAAAGAGAGATGTAAGTGGGTATTTCTGTCATCACAGGAGACTAGAGCGAGGGCTGCATGGTGGAGGGGACCTGGGGGAGGGTTTGTAAAACAATGAAAGAATCTTTTCTTTTACTTTTCCATAATTTTTGGACTCATGTACTTATAACTTGTTAGTCAAATTTGTGTCTTCTAGGTTGCAACACCCCCATGATACATCTTGAAGGATATGTACATGTACAGCCAAGCACAATCAATAAGAGTGCATCTGAATTCCAAAATCAATCTCCATAATAGTCTATGTGTTTCCTACTGCCAAAGGGGCCCTTTAGAGTAGTGAGAGAAGATCTTCACCCTGAAACCCACAGCGTCCCTTTTCAGCAGGAAGTAGCTAAGAGAATATGCCGTCCCCTTTTCCTTATGACTCAGGGAGAAGTCTCTCTCAGGGAGAAGTGATAGGGAATGGCAAAGGACACACTGACAAAGAAGATTAATCAGAACTGGCTTTGACAAGCACTGTGGCATTTGGACAAGAACAAACTGGAAGGAGGGTAAAGAGAATAGTGCAACAATGAATGAGTGGAAGCCCAAAATCTCTGTAAATGTTTATGAAAATTAATAAAATATAATTTAAAAAAAAAAAAAAGACGGCTCTGGAGGACCAGCTTCAAGCCCACTCACTGATCCCCTGTGCTCCTGGGCTCCAAGAGCCCAGCATTGTGGTTGGTGATGGCCCAGAGGGCCTTGCTTCTGTCTCAGGCTGCAGGGCTGGTGCAGAGCCTGCCCTTGTGACCGGGGTGCAGGGACACCTCAGGGAGCAGCATGAAGTCTCAGCAGAGACCATCCAGTCTCCGGTCTGTTGTGGGTGTGATTGAGGAGGTCCCTGGAAGATTCCCTTGGGGGAGGTCCAGAGCCTCAACAGGAGAGGTCTATGGTTGCCCGATAAAGCATTTTCTCTCCCTGGTATGTGGAGCTGTTTGCTCAGAGACCAGAGCAAAGAACAGGCCTTTGGGGTCTGGACCCTTGTGTGGGTGGTCCGAACAGGTGGTCACCTTGTGAGGGTGGTCTGTAAACACCATAGCTTCTGGGCTCACAGCAGTGGGGGGAGGAAAGAAGGGCTTGAGCGCTGGTCTGTGCCTGATGGGGACAGCTCTGGGAGAGCTCAAGAGGACAGGCAGGCACTGAGCCTGACAAAAGGGTGCCTGAAGGAGTCGGGGGCTGGAGGTGGGGGCTATGATAAGCCCAGATGTTCTCAGGTGAAAGTGGTGCAAGAAGGGAGAGGAACACCCAGGTGCAGAGGAGATGGGGCCTGGGAGGTAGCCAGCCAGAGGCCCCAACTGGAAAAAAGACCAATGAGCCCTGGCCTGGGGGTGAGGGGACAGCCCAAAGCTGACATGGTGCATGGAGGTCTGAGGGGAAGGGACTTACCTGGGCGACAGGGTGAAGTTGATGAGGGTGAGCTTGGTGGCAATTTCAGGCGTGTAGTGTGGGTTCGGAAGCTTGGTGGTAATGTACATCTTGAAGTCCTCGTGGTAGGGGATCACTGTATCCCCCAGCTTCAGCACCGTGTTCCCCTGCTGCTTGTACGTCTGAGGTGGGTGGTACAGGCAGGCCCTGGGTCAGGGCTAGGGGACCAACTTCTTCCATACTCGGGCCCATGGCCACCCACGGTCTACCCAATGCCCACCCACCTGCTTGAGCAGCACGGGCTCCAGGGCCGGGTCCAGCTCCTCGCCCACGTTCTCCAGAAGACAGGGCTTGCCAAAGCGGATGGCGTTCTCCAGGCTGCGTAGGAAGTCACGATCGCTCAGCTTGAACACATCCAGTCCATTCTCTTTCTCCTGGGTGGGCACACAAGGAAACTGGTGGGGCTGAGGGCTGGCCCAAGGCTCAGCTCCACCCCCTGTACCTGCCCAGTCCCTTGGAACAGGGTGGTGGGCGCCCAGCTGGCCAGCTCACCATATTCTTGATCCACTTGTTGGCCTGGCCCTGAGGGTCAATGAAGTGGGTCCAGCGCTGAGAGTACTGGGTGATGACCCCGTTCTCAACAGACAGCATGTCGTTGGGGAGGCCAGCGATCTGTAGGGGTGGGAGGTGGGAGGTGGGAGAAGCTGAGTCAGGATGCCCATAGGAAAAAAAAAAAAAAGGATGCCCATAGGGTCTGAACCATCAATGACTTTCTACCCCAACCGCTCTCAGCTTTGTGATTTGACTATGACTTCCTGTCCTGGGAGCGGGAGGCGGGGTGGCAGCTGCATGTGTCTCCACCCTGGCTTCTGCTCCAAGGATGGCTCCCAGCACATCTTCTCTGGTCCTCCTGATTCAAACTTCATCAGAGCTTCTTCCTGGAGCCCACACCCACCGAACCTCCCGGCCTTTGCTCACTCTGAGCTCTACCTGCAGCCTCTTTGTTTAAGGTCCAGTTCAGATATAGTTCTTTCAGGAGACTTTTCTTACCCACCTCTACACTCTTGAACTCTCTCCCCATTCACTGTCTGTGCTGCACTTGGCTCCTCTCCTGTCTTTTATTCTTTGTGTGTACAGAGGTGACCTCTCCAAACCAGGCCCCAGGAGAGGAGGGAAGGGGCCTGGGAGCTCCCTGCCCAGCCTGGACCCCACCTAGACCCGGCCTAGATGCTTCCACTCCCAGCAGGTACCTGCCACGAGCGGATCTTGACGGGGTTCCCCAGCGTCCCGATCAGCGTGGGCTCAGCCGTGTGGGGGACCTGATGTGTCTTCAGCTGATTGACCCAGTAGTCGTACAGGGTGGTGCGATACTGGCCCTGGGGAGACAGCAGACTCAGGGTCACCCCATGAGACAACTTCAACATCATCCCTATTCCCTCCTGCACCACAGGGCTTGGCAGTTCAGCTGGAGGTCAGAGGTCAAACTCAGAGCCAGCCTTCATCTCACTTTGCGGTGGCTTCCCAATCCCCATCTGTGGAGCAGTGACAACAATAACAACTGGCCCCTGTAGGGGTGGCCATGAAGACTGAATGGGGCCCAGTGACATGCTTACAATGCAAGAAGCTCTGAGGCAGAGCGCTCTGTCAGAGGAGGCTCAGCTGGGTGGGTGTTTCCTGACATTTGTGCCCTGACGCTGGGCGCTTGCCCACTTTGTGAGGGAAGAGCAGCCTGAGCCACCTTGCAGACAGGAGGCCCGAAATGGCAGGGCTAGCTAGCTCCTCACCGTAAAGGGGCCCAGGTAGGCCACGTAGCCAGCAGCCACCAGCATGTCCCCGGAGATGTTGTCCAGCATGTGCTCCAGGTGCTCCACAGTCTCCTGCCAGCGCTCCTTCTCATCTGACAGCCCGTTGATAAGCTGCAGAGACCGACCAGAGGGTGGGCTCCGGAGGGCCAGCCAGCGCCTTTCCTGGCCCCACGACCTTGAGGCCCATCTCGGGGTCCCCTCAGCACCCATTCCCGTAGAGGGGAGGCTGCACACCTTGTCGGCCCGGCCCAGCCGCTGTTCACACTGCTCACACTTCATCTCCAGATCCTCCTTCTTGGTGATGCACTCGCGGTACTTGGCCTGCAGGATGGCGATGCCGTCCTCCACTTCACGCAGCTGCTTCTTTGCCTCCTCCAGGATCTTCTGGGTCACCTCCAGGTCATCCTGGGCCTCACGCAGGGCTTGCTGTACAAAGAAGATCAGGCCAGCTTGCAGTGTGCCCCCAGAGTGGGCATAGGGGAGGGGGCTGGAGGAGCAACACCCCCCCCCCAGCTCTAGCTGGCCCTTACCCGCTTGGGCTCCACGGCCTTGGCCATGAAGTGGTACTTGTGCATGGCGCGCACCCACTGGCAGATGGAGGTGCAGGCCTTGGACACCTTGGCAATGGCGGCTGGCTGGAACTCTTCATTATCAATGTAGGGCTGGATGGCTTTGATCACCACCTCCCCAATGTTGTCCTGAGGGTGGGAACCAGCCTCATGGTTCTCCCTACTCCTGCTCCCCAGAGAGGTCGGGGCCTGCTGAGGGGCTTCCCAATGCTGCCCCTCTGTACCAGAGGGCCTGGGCCTCCTTCAAGCCTCTTGGGACCATGCCCTTTCCTTTCAGGAATAAACAAAGCCCAAAAGACTGACCAGTAAAGGAATTTCCATGACCCCAAGATTTCAAATAATAAGATAAAATTATTTTTGGAAACAAGAGTCTCAAGACCAGTAAACACACAAAACCCAACTATTTGCCATAGAGTTGACCCCGGCTCATGGTGACTCCATGTGGATCAGAGTAAAACTATGAGTTTGCTTTCTTTAAAAAAATTGTTCTATGTGTTGCTGGTGACGTGCTTGGTAGAACAAATGCCAATTCAGCGATTTCTACACGTTCGGTTCAGTGACACCAATTATGCTTGGATTGTGGGACCATGCTCACCACGCTTTTCTGAGCTGTTCCTACTGGTGAAGGCTTTGGCCGAGGCCAGGGTGTCACAGGGAAAAAAGAATGCGAAAGAATTTCCAGGCTGTTGAGCCCCAGAGCGACCAGGATCACACCCCAAGGGGCTGCAGGAGTCTCCACACCACCCACCGGTGGGTCTGCCTATAGGCCCTCAGAAACCGGATCTGGTAGCCCAAGCTGTGCTGCCAATGGTGGTGAGGCTGCCGGGGGGCAGGGTCTACAGGTGCTGGAGTGGGCAGGGTCTGCTCCTGCCTCATCTGCCCCACTGGCTCCTGCCCTCCTCGGGGCCCATGCCTACCTTGTCGTACTTGAAGAGGCTCTCGAGGAACCGGCCAGGGTCCTGCAGCAACCCCTTGCCTGGTTCCCAGTAGTCATCCACCTTGGAGCCTGGCTTCTCTCCAGGCACCTTCTTGGGCTTGATGCCCTTCATGATGCACACGGCTTCTATGACCAGCTTCACGCCCGGGGGCGGGCGCTGCATGGCACGCACCTGCAGACCCAGGGTGCAGCAGGGAGGGTCAATACTGAATGGCTCCCACCTACCACCACTGGGCAAAGGCCACGTCCAGGGAGCCTCCAGGGTCCCCCTCAGTCTGTGGATCTTACTACCCTTCTGCACATCAAAGCCTGGCCGTGAGGTTCACTTCCCGGGCTCTGAATCCTGCCTCATGCACCTGCCTGGGCCTGGGGCTAATACGAGGGAGGCCAGGTAGACATCTGACTTCCAGTCCTCCTTTTGCCCTCCCATCTTGGTAATGGTCCTCAAGGGGTATACAAATGAAAGGGCTTAGGCAACGAGGAGGTAAAATTATCCCTCTATGCTGATGGCATGATAGTATACTTAGAAAACCCTAAAGACTCAGCAAGAAAACTATTGGACGTAGTTGACCAATTCAGCAAAGTAGCAGGATACAAGATC